TATTCATAGCAGCACAGTTTGTAATAGCTAAAACTTGGAAACAGCCCAAATGCCCATCAACTGGAGACTGGATAAAGAAAATGTGGTTTTTTCATTCAAAGGAGTACTACTCAGCCATAAAAAATGAAAAATTAGAGATATTTAATAGTGAATCCTTAACACAAATGACGCTAGAAATGGTCATATTTCACAACAAAATGAAAGGTGGAGTAGATGTTGACAATTTATGCAACAACCATGATGTCACTCAAAAGTCAAAACGTTGGCCAATGGTTGTGTTTTATTGGGTCCTAAACATGTCAGGCCTAAATAGCTTCCTAGTTTATAAAGAAAATAACAAGCACAAAATATCACAGAGAAATTTTCTTAGAGGCTTGCAACAAGAATTGATAAATGACCAATTACAACAGAGGAAGAACAAAATGTTTCAGCCCAAAGAACTCCACAAAAGAATTCTGGAGCAGACTGGTGGACAGGTGAACCATCAGAAGAACTGCCTAAGAGAACAGGAAGACAGCAAGATGCCAACTATGTCCTACCAAAGGAGACAGGAAAACAAAACACATGTGCTATCAGTTTAAGTGATACTTGTGTATGGAACACGCTGTTTCCATGTGTGAAAACTGTCTTAAGTGTGATAATTTAAGTAAAGATTATTTTTTGTGGAGTTTTATTTGGATTCTCACTATAGTTCACATAAGGATTTATTTCTGTTGTTATTTTTAAGATTTAGTTACCAAAAAAATTGGCTGATGCAGAAAATGTTGATTTTTGTTCTAAACACTCATTATATATTTTATATTATTGCTATTTCATTTCCTGTATACACTGTACAAAATATACACTGTATCAAATAATAGGAAGCTTCTGACAAAAGAGGAAGACAAGAGAGGTGACAAGTACGGCTTGCCAAACAGGAAAAGAAAGCTAAGCATACCTGCTGTCAGTGTGAGCAAGACTTGTGTACGGAACATGCAGTTGTAATGTGTGAAGACTGCCTTAGGTGTGACAATTGAAGCAAAGATTATTTCTGCAGTAGAGCTTTGTTTATATTTTTATTGTATTTCACATAGGAATTTATTTCTGCTGTTATTTTTTAGATCTTGAAAGCAGGTAAACATTTTGATGTTGAAAATACTGATATTTACTCCACACATTCATTACATATTAAAAACATGTATTTTATTTTACTGATATTTTATTTTCCCATTAAGTATGCATTGTTTAAAACTCACAAAATTAAAATTAATAATTCACCAATAGAAATACTCCTAAAAAATAAATACGTGCGTTACACACCCCAGTAATGCACCTTTTCTAAAAATTTACTGTGATGTCCCTAGGGAGAGGCAGGAAGGTGAGAGCCAGAGTGAAGGCAGTGTGA